ACGTTTTTTTTTCTTCTCTGCTCTGTGTGTGAGCGCGTGACAGAGAGAGAGAGAGAAGAAAAGGGGGTAGGTGAAAAAGATGGACAGACAGACAGGCGGGCAGACAGATGAACAGATAGACAGACAGGCAGACACACAAACAAACAAACATACAGACAGATAAAGAAACATAAAGACACACGCACGCATACATAGTGAAACACACACAATCACAGTGACAAACACAGTGTCACATACACACTGACACAAGATACACAGGCATAGTGTCACATACACGGTGACACAAGATACACAAACATAGTGTCACATACACGGTGACACAGATACACAGACAAAGTGAAACACAGCCGGAATGAAAATACACACAGATAAGTGATACAGAATATATAATGACCCATACACAGTGACATGCAGATAAAGAGACACAGTGAAATACACAGACACAGTAGGATAGATACGTACACAATGAAACACACGCATACACAGTGGAACAGACACAGTGCACAGTGACACACGTAGACACTGTGACAAACAAAGATGTGGAGACACACAGTGCATGGTGACACAGATACACAGTGCACAGTGATACACGCAGATATACAGTCACACAGATGCACGGTGACACAGATACACAGTCACACAGATGCACGGTGTCACAGATACACATTGCACGGTAACACAGATCTACAATGACACTGTGACATACACAAAGACACACAGTGCATCATGACATACACAGAGAAGGGCACATGCACATAGAGTGAGACAGAGAGAAAGATAACGAGAAAGAAAGAAAGAGATATGTACGTGGTGTGTGTGAAAGGTCAACTATGGTATTGACGTCATGCACATTGGTCTTCAAAGTCGAAGTGAGCCTGTCGCATGAATGCGGCTGTAGAAGGGTAGGCGAGTAGTGCAGGCTGGACGCGATTGAGAGGAGCTATGTTAGATATTGTGTTGGTATGACCTGAGGGCTTGAACATTGGCTCAAGAGCTCATTGTACTTCTCTTATTTGGATGGAATCTCTGTGCATTTGTGCTCCTTGCTTGTACGTGACTACTTGGACACTTGCGTGATTTCGCAACTTGGCTTTCAGTATATCGTTCTCACTTATATTCCTTGCATATCAGACTTTTTGATTTTATTTATTTATTTATTTTATTTTATTTTTGTTTCTTTATCACCAATTGTAGCCGCAAGTTGACCGAAATCCGATGTGCCACGGGTAAGCGGTGTTGTCCGCAACTGATTGGGTGAGCGGTGCAATGCGCAACCAATCAAGAGAGCAAGGTAACCGTTGTGTTGACAAATGAGTAAGCGAATGTTGAGTGGATGCGGCAAGTTGTGTTGATTTGTGTGGTATGCTTGCACCTTGCTGTTGGAACTGGCCTACGGAGGGGGAGTTCACTTGCAGTCCAAAGAGTCGGACTTGCGGCGTCTCGGTAGTAGCTCATCTTACGTCCCATGATTGTCCGACGTTCTTTGGCAAGCTGGTTGGCGTGATGTGCCCGTGTGCCTTCCGCCATTGTTCCTCATGATTGCTCGTTACGCCCTTTACCTGATCATGCTCCTTAACACCATGATCTGACGGAATGGGGTTGGATATAAGAATCTAAGGGGAACTTACCGATGGAGGTTGCTCGCGCTGAAGTAAGCGAGGTCTTTCCTCTCCTCTTCCCACCTTATATGCCTCGTATCGCTACCGGACCATATTAAGCGGCGTCCCCGTCGCTTCGCAAAATAAAAAAGCTATCAGTTCAATCCCATTCCAAAAAAAAATGCTGACGAGCAAGGTACCAATCCGATTGACCGACAGACTCAGGTTCGAGGCCTCCAATAATCCATACCAATTTATGCTGCCAGGATTCTAGCCTGGGTCTCCGTCGTCCTGACATTCGGGCGCCGGGATACTCCTCACTGTACTACAGCATAAGTTCAAATGGATCTTTCCCTGTCCCTTCCCCTTTGCCCTAGACAACCGTCGGCCTCTCGTTGTGTGCTCCTAGCCCTTCCCTTGTAGAACAAAGTCATGACTAGGGACGCGGGCCCTAACCGAGACCTTCAAAGGCACTTTTTCGCCTTCCTCCCAAAAATTTTCACATCAGGCTCACATACATCACATAAATCTTCACATCAATCCTTCCTGCAGTCTAGTACAAGAAGGTTAGGTCTCTATCCTGGCCCACCATAATCTGGGTGATCATGCCAGATCTACGGCCCACCGTATTGTTATTTTGACGGTAGTGCCCCCGCGGGTTACGCCACGGTAGGCTTTTCCTGATAAGCAATCAATCAGGACTCTTTTCACAAAGACCCACATGACTCGACTCTTATCCCACGCCCTTCCGCAGGAATAGAAACCCTCCTAGGCGTTTACGCCCCTTTAAGTCTTCTATCCCCTTGGCAAAACGCAGACCCTCTGCTCAGGTTATGCCAAACAGCGGCCAACACTAGGGGTTGCGCCCTAGTAATGCTAGTTATACCCCTAGCTGGGTCTCTCATAAATGCTCAAGATTAGCACAAGTGACTGAAGGTGTGTCGCAACAATACAGACCTACTGCGGGACTACGCATAGACCTGTCACACATAAAAGGTATTTACCAGCCCTTGGTGGGACAGCACCAAGAGTCACGGCAACCTCTTCACAATCACAAACAAAATCACCGTCAGGTTCACCAGGCCATGACCTCCCCACTTGATCAGAGCAGGAAAGCCACACATCTCGGTGTCATTTCCCAAAAACGAACCATTTGCGACATCAAAAAATCTCACCAATAACCAAACAAAATTCTGGTCCCTCTCGTCAGTCTTTTATCAATCATAATAATTTACCATCTAACCACCTTATATAAAGGAGGTCTCTCTTCAATAGGTCTTTTTAGCCATCCCTCTCTCTCTAGGATGAGCTCTCCCATAAACAATCAAACTGAAAGACCAACTTATGGGTCCTTCCTGCACAATTCAAGCCATATGAACATTTGAAATCTTTGCATCTCTCTTCATAAATGCGAACTGCACTATCTTTCCTTATACCCTGCCTCTCCTTCTGCCCAAGGGCAGATCGCATAAGTATACCGAGGAGTAGACAGTTTGTCTATCATCACATTCACAATGTGCAAGATACATAAGATACTTTTCACACACTGTCCACAAAAATCCATCATGCATCAAGTACAACCATACATGTGAGCGAGACAAGCGATCGCCATATATAGAGAATAACCCCTGAAAAAGTATCGTCATAATATACACTCAGGGATAAAATGTCTCACACAAAAAGTGTCTCCAGATCACAACTCACTCAACTCAAAATCAAACCACTCTGACACTCACAACTATCCTCAAAGTACATGTCAGAACTGTCTCTCAAAAGTCAGGGTGTAGGCCACCTAAATATGTACATGCCTCATCTATCAAGTCTTGATTCTCAAGATGACAATCCAACAGAAACCCAAATCCAAAGCGACTATCAAGTACAAACAACTATCTGAATCTAAAAGATGACACTCTATTCTAAACTCAGATCCTATATACAACATGTCAATCATATAGGCAGACCAGCCCTACTCACTCATCTCCTCCTGGTTCTGCCTATACAATTGAGCCCTACCTCCATCTGCAGATCTCTCTACTACTCTCCCCCGCCTATCGTACATCTTCCCATTCCTTCTAGTTACTCTCCCATCGGCCTCGTCCTTCAGGAACTTAGGACAATCCCAGGCTCTGTGACCTTCCTTCTTACAAT